CGTTCTTGGGTAGTTTCCACTTGGTGTTACCTTTCAGTGTCTCCTTAACGTTCTTGACGGCTGCCACAACATAGTCATAGCTAGACATTGTCCACATGTCGACTCCGTCCAAAGACTTCTTTCGTAATCTGGCTCCTAGATAGCTCTCTGGGGGTTCAATCTTCCCTTTCTTGAATTTAAACGACTTTCCAATTCCTTCCATTACTTCTTTGGCGTTCATTGACATACATAGTATGTCATCGACGTAACATAGGATGTATTCATAATACTCCTCCCCATCAGGTTTAACAGCAGCCCTCATCCAAACATCAGGATCAGCAGTGGATGACCAGAAGCCCAATTCTTCCAATGTCTCTGCTAGATGTGACCTGAATGCCGCTGATGATCCTTTTAGACCATATAATGCCCTTCTTACAATGAAAACCTTTCCTTCTTCTTCCCCAAACTCGGGTCCTGCTACCATGTAGCACTTTTCGATTGCTGGTGCAGTGAGGAAAGCGTTCTGTATGTCCGCACACTGCAAGTCTAACCCGTTTAGCGCTGCTATCATGAGTAGTATCCGAACTGAATCACGAGATACTACAGTACTGTAGGTCAATGCTGCCGGTGCTTCAGTCTTGTGTCCGTCAGCGCAGTACCTGGCTTTCCTTCGGAAGTTTTCTCCCAATTTCACATGAAATACCAAATGTCCCGTGATTTTCTTGTACCCCATCAGCTTCTCTACGTCTCCATCGAATTCTTCAAAGGCTATTCGATTGTTCTTCATTTCCATTTGGATCGAATCCTGCCATAGGGTGTCCCCATTCTCTTTGTCGATTTCGATGGCTTCTCTGATTGATTTTGGTATACGTATCCCATACTTGTGTGTACGTTCCCAGTACTTTGATTTGACTTTGCCAAGGAATCGTGTGCGTTTTCGAACAACGTGTGGTACCCACCACGCAAAGGCAGGTTCGTCTTGAATGTCCTTGCTTATTGCATAGTCTGCTACTTCAATTGGGAAGGACTCTTTCATGTCTTTCAAAGGTATCCAGTTCGAGGAACCATCCTTCCAAGTGACATAAAAGTCCCAACCTGCTGTAGTATGTCGTCTTCGTTGCGTTCCACTCTTCAAGCTATAAAAACCGTCTTGTTTCTTTACTGCTTTCTCGTTAGAACGGTGTTCTGTGATCTCTTCCATCAGTAAGTGTTTGTGGCCGTGTTCATCCACTTGTGCCAGTAAGTTTTCTGCTAGTAAATTCGCGGAGAATATCTCGGTGCCTCCGTCTTCGTATTCAACTTCGTATTGCCTTGTGTCTAGTAACTGGTTGTTGTTTGCCACACCAATTGGGTTTCCTTCTGCATCAACAATTCGCCTGCGTACAACGGCACGTTGTAGTTCCCCTTCTTGGCCTCGCCTCAAACCAATTTCCATATTGACATAGTTTTGTGCGTCGATGTCATCTGTTTCTGTAGTCCCCTGGAGCATGCCATCATCAACGTCCTCAGCCTCGATCAACTTGTTGAAACTGCATTTGAATTCGGTGTCTTCCAAGTCAAGGT